TAGGAGAGAGATTGAAGAGAGGTTCTAAAGAAAAAAACTTTTGCCATTTTCTTTTAAAAATTTATGTAGTACTTGTCAATTTATCATTAGTTTAAAAGTTTTATAGTGATTTAAAATTTTAAAAAATAACCAAAATTATTAAACTAATATATTGTAAAAACTCTAAGAGTATCTCCGTATTGACAACACTAAAACAAACTAGTAGACTGAATCGATTATGATCATAAGAATTTAAAGGCTGGAAGCAAAATACATAAATTAAAACCATTAATTAGTCAAATTATTAAAAAACGACTCCGGGTATTTTCTTCACATAAAATGCTTCTACCACTAGACTACTACTATAATATTTTGTTAAAATGGTGGTCCATAAAATTGATTGAAAAATAAAGGCTTTACACCCAAATTATTTTGTTTGGGTTTTTAAAGTTGGTCATGGCACTATTACTTGTACATGTTTTGGTTGAATATTATCGTATAATACGATTCTTATTGGTAAAGAAATTAGTTGTAGAAGTATTTTAGACGGTACAAGTATTTACCGATCACTTCACACATTTAATTAGTGATATCAAATCTGGCATAAAAAGTAGTTAAATATCAAATGAACAAAAAGGGAATGTTTCAAATAGAATCTTTAAAAGTTTTGTGGCGGTAAAATGATAAATAAATTAACATGCTTTAGTACTTTCCGGACTAACTATTTCACTCTCTTATTCTAACCCTTCTTTCACTTTTCACCTAATAAATTCATACATATTCAAATCAAACCCCACTCGAAGAAGCAAAATAAACCAAATTTCCAAACGTATGTTCTTAATATTATCAGGACCCTAAAAATTAATTGTTCTGACAACAACTTTTTCAGACAATTAAATTACAGTTTTCTCCACAAAAAGCCCCGTAACTTACGAATTCTACCAAAAAAGCCCCCCAATTTTTAACAATCATCACGGTGAAGAAGATCACCGTGGATGAGTTTTCTTCGCCGGCGATCTCTGAGACACACTTCTCAAAACAATAAGCTTCTTCAAAACCCTCATCAACATCAACATGTTCGGTC